AATGAATAATTTATGCCGAGAATTGTAAACGAAGCCTTGTGTATTTAGGGCGGTTACTTGGCCAATGCAGATTCATACACGTTTTTTCCGAAGCTGGACCAGAGAAAATGTAATGTTTACCCTCCACCGACCCCTCAATAGCATATAAACTGCATGTTTATATGCTGTGTAATGTGTTTCTTATATAATTTTGAAGAAAAATCATAGATGGATTAATGAAAATGTCTATATTAATGGAAAATAAGACATTATGCTCGAGTGATGATTATTACGTATTAGTATTATTGCTATGGCGTTAAGACTAGAGGGACACTTAGTGAATGAGTAACAAAGGCATGTTTAATTACTATGTAACGTGTTTCTTGTATAATTTTGAAGAAAATATCATGGACGAATTAATGAAAATATCTATATTAACCTAAAATAAGACATTTAATGTGCCGAAGAGCGAGTCATGAACGTATGAGCGGCTCAGGCAGATGCGTCTGGTACCAATGATTTCCGAGTGGAAGTACAAAACCTGGGGGGTAATTTCACTGAAAAGTGCTTGAAATCCATATTGTACGATTCCGCACCAACCAAAAACTGAGGGTCCATCGTTTAGACATATACCTAGTTGTTGCAGTTTTTCGATCCTGATGCCATGTTTATGTATGACATTGTAAATATAGAGAAAATAGCTTAATGCTTTTTTTTTTTTTTTTTTTTTTTTTTTTTTTTTTTTTTTTTTTTTTTTTTTTTTTTTTTTATTTATTTAAATTGTATAATTTATATTGACTTGTAGCTTTTATACTTTTTATGTTACTTCAGAGTTACCGCAAACTTGCAAAGGAATATCACCCCGATAAAAACCCAGCAGCTGGTGACAAGTTTAAAGAGATCTCATTTGCCTACGAAGTACTTACAGATCCTCAGAAGCGTGAGATCTACGATCGGTATGGCATGAAAGGACTCCAGGTAAGTAAGAGACGTTTCAAACTCCTTAATGTTAATACTTTACCAAAAATTAGTCTCCCAGTTTGCCTTGAAGTGGTAAAGATGCATACTGTAGAGTCAGGAGATAAAGAAGACAGGCTGGAAAAGTTAATGGCTGGATTTGATGTTCATTACATGTAATTTGTTCTTGTTGGTAGGCCTTTAAGAGCAAAGGTACAGCTAAAAGGCTTTTGTGAAGGTTTTCTCAGCATGCAAAGAGAAGTAGGCAAGTACAAATAGGAAGTGTGTGCATCATGCTCAGCACATGAAGGATCAAGCCCTAACCACATCTTGTGCAGAATGACCCATATGAGTTTAGTGCTTAACATGAATTTATCTACATGCAAAGCACTGTAAATAATTTGGTCAAGAGATAGGCCAAGTTTCATGATTTACATAAAATTTAATGACCATTTCTGAAATTTTGGTAAAGTTTCTAAAATAATAGTTATAGCATTATATTACTCTAGCAGCTATTTGCCCAGTTCTGACTATATTGGTCATGTTATAGATGCAGTTGCTGGCTCTTGACACAATGGATATTTCTTCCCCAGTCCCTTATTTTATATTTAACCCCCTTTCACTGTTCACTCTGATAAGCTGTGAGCGATAAATTTGGGCCTAGATATGAGAGAATGCATCTGTGGTAAGTGTGCACCATATATGTAAAACAGATCCTGCAGCACAGAGTCCATGAGAAAAAAACTGCGACCATGTTTTTGGATTAAAACAGCGACTTTGCGGTGTATTTTTGTATGTTTTTTCAGTTGTGTGATGATTTTGAGATTATTTTGATTGGTGGCTCTAATGTGCATTCACGAATGTGCTAATATTATTTATACAATTATTACAATATTGCTTAACAGTAAATCTTCCATTATTTGGTGTGAATAAAAATTTGTGAATAAAAAATTAATGTGGAATTCATCTGTAAGGCCTGGAAACATAACTACTAAACAGAGGAAATGTTATATTAGTGCCAGGAATGCCTGTATTGTTTATTCTGGACCCTATATTGAAATTGGAATAGTTTGAACTTTGAAATTGGAAAAATTACCAATTTCCCATCATTTTATTGGGTAGTTGAAATAATTGATTAGGCGACGACTTGTGCTCAGTAAATAAAATGGAACACGTGCTAGCAAAATAGCTAAGAATTTAGTCTAATGGAACAGTGTAATTGGCTGAAAATAGGAGTCCGTGGGCAAAATTGCCAATGCATAAATATTACTGATAGAGCAAAATTCACTAAAGCATAATTCTGTCAATTTTTGATCAAGCTTAATACTTTGTTTTATTACCTTCAGAAAAAGATTCTCTATCCTCTGGAAAATTGGCAGCAAAAATATTTCTGGTACTTTGAGCTCAATTTCAAGCTACTTCTGATCCTGGAGCAAACAAATCCTTTCTATCAAATGATACCAAGAAACGCCTAATAAAATAAAAACCATCCTAGAAAAAAAAACTTGCTATTTTTAACCCTTTCAGGGTTTTGGCCGTACTAGTACTGCTTATGCCCCAGGGTTTTTGACGTACTAGTACGCCTAAATTCTAGCACCCTCAAATCTAGTGTGAAAGCTGGTAGTTCTACATATGAAAGAATGGGTCTGTGGTCATTGTGTGCAGTATAAAAAAAATCCTGCAGCACACAGTGCGTAATGAGAAAAAAAAAAAAACTTTGACAGTGTTTTTGGATTAAAACAGCGACTTTGCACTGTATTTTCGTAATGGTATTTATTGTTGTATTCTAGTTTTCCTGGTCTCATTTTATAGAATGGAAGACATATTACAGAAATTGAGATGATTTTGATTAGTTTACAATGAAAAGTACCTTGAAATTGAGCTCAAAATAGCAGAAATGTTCGATTATTACCAAAGTTCAAAAGTAAACAGATCATGCCAAGCATCCAATACACGTCAACTTGCGAGTCTAATATTCTTTCACAAGTGCACTGATATTATTTATACCATTTCTACACTAATGTAGTAGTCTGCATAACAGTAAATCTTCTATTTTTTGTAAGAATAAAAATTCAAAGTGGAAAGCCAAAGAAATATAAGAGGGGCTTGGGGATGTAACTAATGAGCAGAGAACTTATTTTAGTACCAGGAATGTCTTTATTGTTTATTCTGGACCCTATTCGGAAATTGGCATCTTTTGAAATTTGTGTGAAATTGGCAAAATTGCTAAATTCTGACCACTTTATTGGATAGTTGAAATCAGTGAGTGAGTTTTTTCTTGTACTCATTTGATAGAAAAAATTGAGTTCTAATGAAATAGTTATGATTTTTGTCGACTAGTACACTGGAATTGGCTGAAAATAGGGCTCAATGTGTAAACATTGTCGAGACCGCAAACTTCGCGAGAGCATAATTCCGTAAGTTTTCCATCAAATTTCATACTTTTGGTGTCATTATGATCGGGAAAAGATTCTCTATCTTTTTTGTAAGAAAAATTTTTTTTTTTAAATTTGGGGACCCTGAGAACAAGTCTCGGAGAGGGCCTGGAGACCCTGAAAGGGTTAACCAAACAAGGTCAGAGTTCTGCTTTTCCCATCATGGACCATGTGGCACAGGATTTTTTTTTTTTTTTTTTTATGTATATTCACCACACAGGCCAATTTTCTCGTATCTAGATCAGAATTAACCACTGTTTGAGGGAGTTGTGCTTAAAACAGATCTAATTGAGGCACCTAGGCAACTGTAACAAAGATCTACATGACGACCACTCTTAGGGTTAAAAACAGTCCAAAACAAACACCGAAGGTATTGCAGCCACTAGAATTACCTTTCCTTTATTCCTTCATCATATCCTCAAATCTCTCCTCATCCTCCATTTTGATTCAGTCATCATCTTTGTGCACAATAAAAAGTTTTTCCCTGTTTCTTGGTTAATATATGAAATATAACCAAGAATGCTTTATGGTTTAGGCCATCCCAATAATTGAAGCACATCTAGTATTAAATAATGAAAAGGGCTGAGCTCCTACCCTTAAAGAAAATTGCTAAAAGCCAAAACTTGAAGATTTCTACCAATTTGATGCCTTTTTCTGGTCTGAAAACAACCAGAATCATCTCCATTTCACTATTTATCAATTGGCACCAAGAAAATGCCAATAAAACTATGAAAACTATTCAAGAAAATTCCTTTGTTATTTTAGCAAAAAAATAAGGTCAGAGGGTCACTGCCAAAATTTACTGCTCACAGGAAATTTGAGGGCTCTGATTTAAAACGTGTGTTTTTTCGAGTGACACTGGCCTCAATGACGTAGATCCAGCGACTGACAATGAAAAGATTAACAAAGTTTGATACATTGGCAGTGTGTTGCTACCTTTATCTGTGATACTTGCACAGTAGCTAACTTGTTATATTAAGTCATGCAGAATAGGACTCCCAGCCTGAGCTAGACTTTCCATCCAGCACTCCTTATTGATGTTGGGTGAGATGAGGGTGTAACTTTGCCTTGAGTGGTATCAAGAGTTTTCCTATTTGCAGCTCTGCTCTTAAGTTTTAAAGAAAAATAATTGTTTACTGTGTTGTTTAAAGTAATCATTATTCTAAGGTATATCCCTAATAAATTGACAAAAACTATATTCTATTACCAGGAAGGAGACAACAACTTTGCAGGGGCAGAAGACCTCTTTGGCCACTTCTTTGGTGGAGGTGGGCCATTTGGTGGACTCTTCGGTGGGTTTGGAGGTGGCTTTCGCAATGCACAAAGGAGAGGACCAAGACGAGGGGAGAACACCATTCATAAGCTAAAGTAAGTGTACTTCTCAAAACTCTTAATGTGGTTAGGAAAAAAGTTGAGGGTGGGTTTTATATATTGGAGAGCCCTGCTTATATAGCAGGTTAGGTTCTGGGCTATTGCTGTGAAGTGAAACATAGCCTTTTTTTCATTTTCAAATGCATATAAAAAGCCTGATAACATGTTTACACATTTCTTTCAACAAGTTAGCTGTTTCTCACTGAGGCAGGGTGGCCCAGAAAGAATAACAAAAGTTTCTCTTTTTAGCTTTAGTAATGTATACAGAAGGGGTTACTAGCCCCTTGCTCCCAGCATTTTAGTTGACTCTTACGACACGCATAGCTTACAGAAGATGTTTACACTTATATATAAAGTGAACAATAGAGCTAGGCCTAAAAATTGCATATACAGTACACACTTTACTTGCTTTAAAATATTTTCATCCTTAGTTTATAGTGAGTGGTGAATATATTTATTGCAGGAAGTCTTAATAAATGAAGAATGGGTAATTGAAAACCACTGTATTAGCCCTCCTGTATACAGTATATATTTTCCTTTTTGTAGTTACAAGAGCAGAGTCATGCTTGCTTTTTTTTTTTTTTTATCATACTACAGGCAGTCCCCACTTTACATCACTTAGCTTTAACATATCAGGCTTTTATATGCATTTGAAAGTGAAAAAAAGGGCTGTTTCACTTTACAACCTGCTGTATAATACAGCAGGGAACTCCTGTATATAATTTTTAAGCTTGCAGTGGTTGTATTACAGTTTGCTACCTGTTGGATCACACACACTAGCAATATACCATGTTTTGTGAAATACTTTTTAGCATCTTTTCAGCAGTATTTACAATTACAGTCTGTTCTCCTTTTATTATTTTTTTTTTTTTATTATCACACTGGCCGATTCCCACCAAGGCAGGGTGGCCCAAAAAAGAAAAACTTTCACCATCATTCACTCCATCACTGTCTTGCCAGAAGGGTGCTTTACACTACAGTTTTTAAACTGCAACATTAACACCCCTCCTTCAGAGTGCAGGCACTGTACTTCCCATCTCCAGGACTCAAGTCCGGCCTGCCGGTTTCCCTGAATCCCTTCATAAATGTTACTTTGCTCACACTCCAACAGCACGTCAAGTATTAAAAACCATTTGTCTCCATTCTACTCCTATCAAACACGCTCACGCATGCCTGCTGGAAGTCCAAGCCCCTCGCACACAAAACCTCCTTTACCCCTCCCTCCAACCCTTCCTAGGCCGACCCCTACCCCGCCTTCCTTCCACTACAGACTGATACACTCTTGAAGTTATTCTGTTTCGCTCCATTCTCTCTACATGTCCGAACCACCTCAACAACCCTTCCTCAGCCCTCTGGACAACAGTTTTGGTAATCCCGCACCTCCTCCTAACTTCCAAACTACGAATTCTCTGCATTATATTCACACCACACATTGCCCTCAGACATGACATCTCCACTGCCTCCAGCCTTCTCCTCGCTGCAACATTCATCACCCATGCTTCACACCCATATAAGAGCGTTGGTAAAACTATACTCTCATACATTCCCCTCTTTGCCTCCAGGGACAAAGTTCTCTGTCTCCACAGACTCCTAAGTGCACCACTCACTCTTTTTTCCCTCATCAATTCTATGATTCACCTCATCTTTCATAGACCCATCCGCTGACACGTCCACTCCCAAATATCTGAATACGTTCACCTCCTCCAAAACTCTCTCCCTCCAATCTGATATTCAATCTTTCATCACCTAATCTTTTTGTTATCCTCATAACCTTACTCTTTCCTGTATTCACCTTTAATTTTCTTCTTTTGCACACCCTACCAAATTCATCCACCAATCTCTGCAGCTTCTCTTCAGAATCTCCCAAGAGCACAGTGTCATCAGCAATGAGCAGCTGTGACAACTCCCACCCTGTGTGTGATTCTTTATCTTTTAACTCCACGCCTCTTGCCAAGACCCTCGCATTTACTTCTCTTACAACCCCATCTATAAATATATTAAACAACCACGGTGACATCACACATCCTTGTCTAAGGCCTACTTTTACTGGGAAAAAATTTCCCTCTTTTCTACATACTCTAACTTGTTCTCCTTGTTGGTACTAAAAAAATTCTTACCTCCCAATGTTCTTGTCTTTATGATCTTGTGTGGATATATAACTTCTGCTATTATTTTCAATATTTTCACTTTCTTTGTAATTCATATTTCTTTATGGAGCTACTTTGCAGTACTGTGCATCTTACAATATCTCCGTACTACATTTACATGCAATTTTTGTCTGATGTATGTTTAATATTTTTAGTACATAATGTTCCTCATGTATGCCTGAAAGGTATCTAGAAGATTGTCAGTAAAGTGTAGCATTTGATTTTTTTGTTTTTTTTTTTTAAGTTTTAGATATTTAATGACAGCTTTTGTTCATACTGCATGTGTACCTTTTTTTTTTTTTTTTCCTTCCTAAAATTTCCCTGTTTTGGCTACCATACCTATGCCAGTTTGTGCTCACTCGCACATGCACTTGTCATTGTCTATAATTTTCCTTGGATTTAGTGTATTTTATGTGACTCACTAATATGTTAATCCTTTCAGTGTCTAGTATTGTATTGTACCCATATTCTACTGCATCAGCAGATCAAGTCCATTACTCCAGAAAACAACTGGGTGATCGTGAAATATTAATTTTGTAATTCGGGAGTTAGTCAACATTATCATTAAACCCTTTCACTTTTGTGACATCTGAAACTTAAGTGTTGGCAGTACCATGATTTAGAGAAAATTTCTTTTAACTTCTGAAATGGTAGAGAATCTTCTGAAAGTTATGACACCAAAAATGCGAATTATTTTTATTATCACACTGGCCGATTCCCACCAAGGCAGGGTGGCCCGAAAAAGAAAAACTTTCACCATCATTCACTCCATCACTGTCTTGCCAGAAGGGTGCTTTACACTACAGTTTTTAAACTGCAACATTAACACCCCTCCTTCAGAGTGCAGGCACTGTACTTCCCATCTCCAGGACTCAAGTCCGGCCTGCTGGTTTCCCTGAATCCCTTCATAAATGTTACTTTGTTCACACTCCAACAGCACTTCAAGTATTAAAAACCATTTGTCTCCATTCACTCCTATCAAACACGCTCATGCATGCCTGCTGGAAGTCCAAGCCCCTCGCACACAAAACCTCCTTTACCCCCTCCCTCCAACCTTTCCTAGGCCGACCCCTACCCCGCCTTCCTTCCACTACAGACTGATACACTCTTGAAGTCATTCTGTTTCGCTCCATTCTCTCTACATGTCCGTACCACCTCAACAACCCTTCCTCAGCCCTCTGGACAACAGTTTTGGTAATCCCGCACCTCCTCCTAACTTCCAAACTACGAATTCTCTGCATTATATTCACACCACACCTTTATAAGGCATAGCAAAATAGTTTATAACTTTTACAGGGTTAGAGATGTAACTTTCGTATAAAAACTTCTTGCTGTGATCTACATTACTTTGTAATGACCCCCCATACATAGCATTTCCACTGACTAGCCACCTTACTGTTAATCAAAGCCCATGTCTTACCTATATAAGTGTTGGTATCCCTATACTCGGGTGCATAAGGAAAAATGTAGAATATTCATTTAAAAAAATGTGAGATCTAGTTTAGTGCCCCTACACCCTCATTTTTTCTTCAGGTTTTACCCCTTTGTACATTTGAATAAGGTTACTTTTTTCCTCTCCTCAGAGTTTCATTGGAAGATTTGTATAATGGCAAAGTATCAAAATTGCAGCTTTCCAAGAATACTATCTGCACAGCATGTGGAGGGTAAATATGTATATAGAATTCATTTTTTATTTCTTGATTCATTTTTTATTTCTTAATATGTGTGTGAGTTAATTTTAATATATAAAGCATATTCTTTAGACTTAGATTTAGTCATTCAACAAAGAATACACATTGTCATTAAAATTAATGCTGTAGAAATGAGAATGGATTAAAATTTTAAGCATTAGACTTAGATGAATTAGATATGCATTTTAGTAGTATTAAAGTATAACTAAAACAAGTTACCATGGAGTGTGATTGAAGCAGATACTGGACTTAAGACATTTTCATAATAGGTTTGACAAAAGTGACAACAATTGATGTAAATAGGACCTATCTCATATGGGCCTTTAGGCATATTGCAGTTTCTTGTTCAAAGATTGATACACACTCTGAATCTAATGTATTGTAAAGAGAGAGATATTTATTGGTGTTAAGGTTTAATTTGATCAGTGATATTAGCTTATATTGCAATACCTAAACAATTTATAAAAATCTTTTAGGGTAAGGGTGACTTGCTATACAGTATTGCTTTCACTTTTGAAGTTAATGCATTTCCGAAAATTCATCTTAAGTCTAATGTTTAGTGCTCGGAATATTGTCCCATAAAAATGTATTTTACAGTGGAATAATGCATTCCAGGGCCATGATTCTGTATTCCATATCTAATGTGTTACTTTTTTTTTGTTTTCCAAAGAATTTTTACCCAATATTGTTGCATTCTTTACTGTTCCTTCTCACTTAGAAATAGTACTGTATTAAACACTGTTTTAATTAATGTATACATGTTAATTTAACTGAACAATGTGATGTGTGGTGACAGGTTTCCTCAAACTTCACCTGCTGACAAGTCTAGTAAATGTCAGCATTGGTGGCAAATACGACTGATAGTAATAATTCGACCTGTAGTTTTTAATTAGTCTTTATCAAATATAAGCACTCTGTATGTGCATAAAATGAACATGCATAGTATGTATGTGTTTGGTAAAAAACTAAGAAATCTTTAAACGGTAATTTATTGTTAAGAACTTTGTTAAAAATAGTAAACCTGTCATTGGAAGTCTTGAGTCACTTGTTCATAAGTAATGAATTGGTTCCTGAGTGCCAATGTGTTGACCATAATTGCAAAATATTGCAAGTCTGAACATTTTGTTGGGAACCTTACTGTACATGTATGTTTGTGTTGGGTGTATACAATGTACTGGAGTAGAGAAAATATCCTTCAGGTTAGGGAATTCTGCTTTATAAGTAGCTGTGACTTCTTTCCCCCCCCCCCCCCTCTTATTCTTCGGTTTAATCTTTCAATTTCATAGTGAGGGTGGACCAGCTGGAGCTCTACAACCTTGTCGGAATTGCAATGGGCGTGGGGTCAAGGTTACTATTACCCAGTTAGGTCCAGGCATGGTACAACAGATGCAGAGTCGTTGTCCAGAGTGTGATGGCGAAGGTGAGAAACTGTTTTTAAACTCCTTTTGTATTGATTTTCTAGGCAAGTAAGTTTCATTTTCCATCATTGCACGTACTTGTGGTAATTACGTAGTTACAGTAGTAGGTTGGTAGATGGTGATCATTCAGACAGGTATTATCATCCTGTCACTTGTGTGGAGCAGAAAGTCATTTACTCTGGCAGGTTTTTGTTTTTTACCCCATGTGGAGACATAAGATGGTAGGTAAATTTTAAAACTTAGTCGGTACTCAAAACCGTTTTCCCATCAAGAGAAAATCCCTTATTGTTAGTGAAGAACTCTTGATCCAAGAAGTGGAACTATTCTCCCATCCCCCTTCCCCATTTTTATCCAATCTGATTATCTTCCATTCCCCAAGTGCTGTAAGACCTTAATGGGTTTAGTGCTTTCCATTGTTTTTGTGATGCTTGAATGTGCGTGGAAGTCGTGCGGATGATAAAAAAGAGATGATTGCTGATGTTATGAATGAAAAGAAGTTGGATGTCCTGGCCGTAAGCGAAACAAAGCTGAAGGGGGTAGGCGAGTTTCAGTGGGAAGAAATAAATGGGATTAAATCAGGATTATCTGAGTTAGAGCTAAGGAAGGGGTAGCAATAATGTTGAAGGATCAGTTATGGAAGGAGAAGAAGAATATAAGTGTATAAATTCAAGGATTGTGGATTAAAATTAGGGTCGGATGCAAAAGTGGGTCATAATAAGCGTGTATGCACCTGGAGAAGAGAGGAGAGAGAAATTTTGTGAAATGTTAAGTGAATGTATAGGAGCTTTTGAACCTAGTGAGAGAGTAATTGTGGTAGGGGACCTAAATGCTACAGTAGGAGAAACATTTAGAGAGGGTATGGTAGGTAAGTTTGGGGTGCCGGTTGTAAATGATAATGGTAGCCCTTTGATTGAACTTTGTATAGAAAGGGGTTTAGTTATAGGTGATATATATTTTAAGAAAAAGAGGATAAGTATAAAAGGATATGATGTTGGGCATAATGACAGTAGTTTGTTGGACTATGTATTGGTTGATAAGACTGTTGAGTAGACTTCAGGATGTACATGTTTATAGAGGGGCCACAGATATGTTGGATCACTTTTTAGCTCTAGCTACAGTGAGAGTAAAAGTAGATGGGATACAAAGAAAATAGAAGCAGCAAGTAAGAGAGAGGTGAAGGTTTATAAACTAGAGGAGGAGGTAGTTAGGGTAAGATATAAAGAATTATTGGAGGATAGGTGGGCTAGTGAGAGTATAGGTAATGGGGTCAAAGATGTATGGGGTAGGTTTAAGAATGTAATGTTAGTGGAAATATAAACACATGTGCAGTATAATTTGATCCTTTATTGACAATGTTTCGCCTACACAGTGGGCTTTTTCAAGTCACAAACAGATCTTTCTGGGGGTGGAAGGTACGCGAGTATTTATAGTCAGGTTTAGAATGCTGAGGTCAAGTGGAGAATGCTGCATCTGATGATGTACCGAGTTTGGTTATAGAGTCTAAAATCTTGGGTAGCTTGGAAGGGAGATTGGATAAGTTTGTGAGCAGACCTTCTGCAGTGTTTTTCCATTCCTATGTTCTTATGTGAGATAGCAATGAAGAAGTTTCTTGGCGAGTGGTTCAGCTATGTTATAGAAGCCATTATTCTGGTTGAAGTTGTCAGATATAGAGATAAGCGATGATTCCAGGATTCTTCGGTATTGAGTGTTGTCTTCTGTGGCGATAAGTCTTGAGTTTCTGTAGTTTATTAAATGGTTGTGTGAATTACGGTGTTGTACACAGGCATTCCTTGTATCGTCAGACCTGCTTGCGTATTATACATGTTTGGAGGTCCCTTGATGTTTCGCCCACGTATAATTTGCTGCAGTCATTACAAGGGATTATGTATACCCCTGCAGAGGATGGAAGCTTGTCCTGTCTAATACTGGTAATGTCCTTGATGGTCGTGGTTGTGGAGGTAGATACTTGGAATGAGGTATTGGAGAAGATGTTGGAAACGTGTTTGGCAATAGAGTTGGTGGGGAGGACTATGTATTTCTTCTCGGCAGTGTCTTCTCGGGGTGTGTTGAAGATGTTTAATGCCCATCGTCTGCAGTCTCTGATGAAGTGACGAGGATAGTGGAGTTTAGAGTTAAGAACCCTTGAAAAAAGCTCATCAGGTCCCGGCGACTTATTTTGCTTCAGTCGATCTATTTGTTTCATGACCATTTCACTAGTGACTGTGATGTTACATAATTTATCTTCAGGCCCACTATAATTAATTACTGGGATATTGTTAGTGTCTTCCTGTGTAAAAACCGAAAGAAAATAATTATTTAAAATTGAGCACATTTCATTCTCTTTGTCAGTATGATGTCCATAGTTATTTTTAAGGGGACCTATCTTATCTCTGACTTTTGTTCTATACACCTGGAAAAAACTTTTTGGGTTAGTTTTCGAATCCCTAGCAACTTTAATTTCATAGTCCCGTTTAGCTTTTCTTATCCCCTTTTTAACGTCCCTCTTAATGTCAATATACTGATTCATAAGATGACCCTCACCTCTTTTGATATGCCTATAAATTCCCTTCTTATGCCCTAGTAGATATTTCAGCCTATTATTCATCCATTTTGGGTCATTTCTATTTGATCTGATTTCTTTATATGGGATAAATTCTTTGGGCAGCATGTATTGTGTTAAGAAAACTGTCATATTGATAGCTCTCTTCGTTACCCCAGTCAACAGATGATAAGTGTTCTCTAAGCCCATTGTAATCTGCTAAGCGAAAATCTGGAACTGTTACTGAGTTATCCCTACTGTCATACTTCCATTCAATGCTAAATGTAATTGATTTGTGGTCGCTAGCACCAAGTTCCTCTGAAATTTCTAAATTATTAACAAGGGATTCATTGTTTGCCAGAACTAAGTCAAGCAGGTTATTTCCCCTTGTAGGCTCTGTCGCAGACTGCTTCAAAAATCAATCCTGAACTACTTCTAAGAAGTCGTTTGATTCTAAATTCCCAGTCGAGAAATTCCAATCAATATGACTAAAGGTAGTCTCCTAGAATTACTACATTTTTGTGCCTTGTTGCCTTAACAGTTTCCTCCCATAGTAGTCTCCCTTGGTCCCTATCTAAGTTTGGGGTACGGTATATTACACCTAAAATCAATTTTTCATGTCCCTCTGAAAATTCTATCCAAACAGACTCAGTATGGGTTTCAGACTTGATACCTGTTTTTATGCAACAGTTCAAGCGATCTCGGACATATAGTGCCACCCCACCCCCCTTCCCGATAATTCTGTCTACTTGGAACAATTTAAAACCCTGTATGTGACATTCAGCAGGCATATCCCGATTTTTTGTATTGAACCACATCTCAGTTAAGGCAAATACATCAATGTTACCAGCACTAGCAACTAGTCTCAACTCATCCATCTTATTCCTAGCACTTCGACTATTTGTGTAATATATACTATTTAAGGACCCTCCCTTCTTTTTTTTCTTCCTGCTGATTTCTGTTCCTCCACTATGCTTGTTACTCTCCTTATCACCTAATGCCATTGGCTTTCCTATGTTCATCAATAACTCTTCCTCATTCTGCCTATAACTGGTTTCCTTAAAACTCACACTATCCCTACACTCAGAATTCATTGATTTTCCACAAAAACCCATACCACTATCTATTTCTAGTTTAAAGACCTAACTGCTCCCTCATCTGCATTGGCCAGTGCTCCCACCCCAAACCTAGATAAGTGAACCCCATCCCTGGCATACATGTCATTTCTGCCATAGAAGAGGTCCCAGTTGTCAACGAATGTTACTGCATTTTCCTTACAGTATTTGTCCAGCCAACAATTGACACCAATTGCCCTGGACAACCATTCATTTCCAACTCCTCTCCTTGGCAAAATACCACATATGACAGGTTTCCCACCCTTCCTCCTAATTATCTCTATTGCTGACCTATACCTGCTAATCAGGTCCTCACTCCTACGTCTGCCAACATCGTTGCCTCCAGCACTGAGACATAATAGGATTGCTCCCATTACCTTTCATGATGTCATCCAGATGGCTAACAATATCCTTCATCCCAGCCCCAGGAAAACACTGTCTGCCTCCTACTCCTATCCTTCAAGCAGAATGCCCTATCCATGTACCTAATCTGGCTATCCCCAACAACAATGTTTTTACCTTCCTTGGTGTCGTCCGCCGTGATGCTCCCAGTTGTCGACTCACATTTGTCAGGTAGCATTACACCTTCACTTGTGGAATTCGTCAAGACGTTCTCGATGGTGTTTCTATGGATGTCTCACTCACGTCAGCCAATGCTTCCTTGTTGCTTGTTATGACATTCCCAGTAGAACGCCCACATTCGTCAGGTAGCACCGAAAATGGGTTGGAAGTTTCCACAGTAGTCTTCTGGGTCCTCGTTGTTTCTGCCTCTCCAACAGTCTTCTTGATCCTCAGCTTGGTTCCATGTTGCCCAGCCACTGACCAAGCTCCCCTCTTAACCTGGGGACTCACAACAGGAGGATTACTTCGAATCCTCTTGTTCTCCGTTAATCGCCGTATCTCAAGCTTCGCAACCCTAAGCTCTTCTTTCAACTGCTGGTAAAGTTGCTCAAGAGAGGGCATCCTGGTTCAGATTCACAGAGAACAGTATTTAGAGAAGGGTAAAGAGGTTTTTGTGGCATTTATGGATTTGGAAAAGGCATATGGCAGGATGGATAGGAGGCAATGTGGCAGATGTTGCAGGTGTATGGAATAGGAGGTAGGTTACTGAAATCAGTGAAGAGTTTTTACGAGGATAGTGTGGCTCAGGTTAGAGTATGTAGGAGAGAGGGAGATTATTTCCCAGTAAAAGTAGGCCTTAGACAAGGATGTGTGGTGTCACCAAGCTTGTTCAATATATTTATAGATGTGGTTGTAAGGGAAGTGAATGCTTGGGTGTTGGCAAGAGGTGTGGGGTTAAAAGATAAAGAATCTAACACAAAGTGCGAGTTGTCACAGTTGCTCTTTG